GTATGTGCTATCTATCCATGAATGGTTTTCTGTGGGAGACAAACTTGAGCCTAGGGTGATATTGCAACTGTCAGGGTCACATGGTTTCCAGGAATCCAGGCTCTGTAATCTGAAACCCGGTATGCTAATGAGGCATCCTACCCTCTATTCTGTGATAGGACGTTAAGTCTGTTATGCTAATAGGATGATGCTAATAAGGTATCCTACTTGCTGTGCTGTGATTGGACCACTACCCTATATAAGCTTGTGCCTTCCTGCACTAAAGCAGACCTGTGTCACTGAACCTGGTCTCCTGTGTCTGAATGCGGCTCCGCTGACACAGTCTCCTCACCAGCCCTGGGGTCTGGGACCAGGCAGAAGCAGCAACAATAGGAGGCAGCACAGGGCAAGCAGAAGAGCTGCCTCAGCACCAGGTGAGCAAAAGAGCGGCCTCAGCCCAGGGCGAGCGGAGGAGCAGCCTCAATGCCCGTGAGAACAAAGGAGCGGCACCCACGAGAATGGAGGAGGAGCGGCCGCCACTGGCGGTGACCACAGGTTTCTATATCTGTATGTTTTGTTTTATGCCTGGATTGTTTTCTTCAACTCTATGTTCTGGGATCTGTGCAGGCTCAACCTTGTACATACATAGGCACGTTGATCTTACCAGTAAACAGTCTCAGAATTATTGTATGCATTTGATTAGTAGAGGAAAGATTTCCTATAGATTCTTTATATTTTTTAAATTACTATTTTTAGATTTTGAGACAGGGTCTCCTGCAGCACAGGCTAGACACAGACTCACTATGTAGCCTAGACTGGTCTTGAACTCCTATTCCCCCTACCCCTGCCTCCAGAGTGCTGTAATCCTATAGATCTTAACCCATGGTGTGTGAGTTCTTCCAAGGTTAACTGGTGAGATGCAAATGACACCTCCTGACCTTGTTCTTAAAAGCTGGGCTAGGGTGGGCTTGCAGCAAGATGGGAAAGAAAAGAGCAAATTGTCTATCAGGTGGCTCCAACATTCTATCTGTATCTGGTGGTCCCTCTTATTATCCTTTCTCTCCTGAGTATCTCTTCTCCAGCTTCTGTCTTCTATGTACTCATGAAACTGAATCCTTAGATTCACCTGGTAATCTGTGAGGAACCACAGAAGATGTCCACTGCAGCCCTCAAGAAACAGGGCACTGTGGAGCTAAGGCTACTAGTCTTTACAACCCCAAGCTCTAAAAGTGTCTTACATCCCAGGTGCAGGCATCATTCCCCCCAGCCGGTTGCTTCTCCATTGGTGCTCCTAGTTTACAAGGTCAGAAGGTGGGGAGTCAGCCTTAACTTTGGACTATCCCTCTGCCCACTAAACATGTTCTGATTGCCTTATAGTCATAATGCTTCTGTTTCTCTCCAGCTCCATGCCACACCTTCATCACATTTATATTAACTCACACTCAGATCACAGTAGCACAGCTCAGCTGGGCTGCTTTCCCCACACCTGGTCCTGCCAAGCTACTTCTGCTCCATAGATTAGAGCAATCAAGTCCTCTTGCTCCCCCAGATCCACCTTCCCCATAGCCTTAGGACAAAAGCTGAACTTTTTTCAAGATTTACAATGTAAATCTTTTTGCTTATGTCTGGTCATTTCCTACTCCTTATTCTCAAAATTCACCTGCCAATCCAAATCAGCTCTTTTTATTTTTCCCAACACTCTATATTTATCACCTCTGAGGCCTTCATATGTGCTTTTCTCCATTCTTCAAAAACACCATCACTCAGCATTAATCAGCCTTCAATTTTCAGCTTAGAGTAATTCTTTCTGTAAGAATTCTTACAGACCCTCCTTGAGCAAGCTTTAGCTGGGTGGCGGCTCTACCCTCCCCCCCTCCTCTTCTCCTTCTTTAAATCTTTGTGTGTGAGCATATAATGCATATGCATGCATGTGTGTGTATGATGCATGTGCTTATATGTCTGTGCACACACAATCCTGTGTGTGGGTGTGGGCACATGTGGAAGTCAGAGGACAGTTTGGGGGTACTGGCCCTTACCTTCCACCTTATTTGAGATGGGGTCTCTGTTGTTTCTCTGCTGCATACACTAGGCTCTGTGGCCTATAAGGTGGGGGAAGGGATTCTCCGTTCCTACCTCTCATCCTGCAGTAGGAGCACTGGAGCTACAGATGCATTCCATTGTATCCAATTTTATGTGTGTTCTAGGGATTCGAACTCGGGTACATCAAATGCTTTACCTACAGAGCCATCTTCCTAGCCAGAATCTGATTTCTGACTGGGCTTCATCCTTGGGCCCTATTCCAAGCTGCTGTGTCACAGGCTATGGAGAATCCCAAGTCAGTCTAGTGAAATTCCCCTTTCCCTTGATTTCTGACCACAATGTCCTAGCTTTATCAGGAATCCTGTTAGGACAGTTTATCAAGAATCCTCCCACCTTTGCTGTTCCTCTTAGTACTTTTCTACTCATTGACCCCCTGACCCTACTTTTGGGCTATAAGTTCCTAGCTGTTCTTTGTGGCAGACATCTTTCTCTCTGATATAGCAGGTACTAAATAACTTTGTCTTTATGGTCTTTAGTGCCTCTTTGTCTCTCTGAGTACTCTAACCCCAGACTAGGGGTCAGGAAAGATAGGAACCACTATCTTCCTCTTCTCTTTTGTCATTCTGAGACTTGAATGTAATGACTTCTGCAATTGTGTTTTGGAAGTGTTCTGAGAGCAAGCCTTGAGTGTCCTTCATTGTGTAGCATAGAGCTCGGCACATGTGGGACACAAACATGGGGGATGAATCTCCATGCTTTCTTCTTGCTAAATGGGATGGTCCAGCACCCGTTTTAATCATTAGAAGGTAGTGTGGTGGGCCTGTGCCATGGATGGAATGAGTCTGTGTCTATTTCTGTGCTGTTGAAGCAGTGCTAAAGCCCTTCTGGTCTGCCCCTCAGCAGAAACATTGAGCTGAGTTTCTCTAAGCAGTGGCCTCAAGGAGAGCTATGACCAAACCCATCATGTGCTCAGGCCAACTCTTTTCTCCCAAGCCAAAAGCTCATTATTACACAGTTTGTGTGTGTTTACTTGTCTCCTACGTAGTTTCAGGCTACTCCACCCAAAATCCAAACAAAAAGACAAGATGAGAGCTAATTTAGTCAAATTTGGCGCTCAGGCGTGCAAAGGCGTTTTGAAGTTCTCTGCATAATAAGATCAGAGAGACGGCTTAGTGGGTGAAAGTGCTCTGAGCACAATCTGATGACCTGCATTTGATTCCAGAATCCACCTTGGAAGGAGAGAACTGACTCCCAAAAGTTGTCCTTTAACTTCCATGTGAGTGCTGTGGCATGTATGAGCCTGAACTCACGTGCATACATCACGCATACTTATAAACACAAAATAACAAGTAAAATAAATTTAAATTGAAGTTCTCTGTTTAACACAACCATTCCTCACTTTGTATTTATTTCTCTAATTCTTAGAATGACTAGTGTTGATATGTTTGGTACACTAAGAGCTGAACATGTGTGTTAATTTTGATTAAGAATTTTCCGCTAGGGTCTAGAGAGATGGCTCAGGGGTTAAGACCACTGGCTATTTTTGCAGAGGACCTGGGTTTTATTTCTAGCACCCACATGGCAACTAACAACTGTCCATAACTCCAACGCCCTCTTCTGATCTCCATGGGCATTACATGACATGGTGCACTAACATACATGCAGGCAATACACTCATACACATAAAATAAAAATAATAACTAAAATTAAAAGAGTTTTTCACCATCATGAAACAAAAATGGCTGCTAATTTTCAAATGAAAATATCTCCATTTGTTCAGTGTATTTTAGTCAAGTTTAGAATATGAATGGAGGCAACAGATGGTAACCACATTAACGAAAATTATCTTTGCTAAACAAATAGAAGAATAGAATAAATAGCAGAAGAGTCATTCATCTTGATAGTGACGGACCAAAGGGACCACTGGGAAGTCCTTCACAGAGCACAAGGGTGGTACCCTCAAGGGAAAGGTCTCACTGAATCCTCTACCTCATCAGCTCTGCCATGGTTTTGAAAGCTCTTGGAAAAGTGACGTTTATAACCTTTCTGGAAAACTCTCCAAGATCTTAGAAATGCTGACTTTGAGTAACCTGAGTGTATTGATTTTTCACTTAAATTCTTCATACTGCAGGTAAAACCTAACTCCATTTGCCTTTTTTGCAGTGTAGGAGAAAACTAAAGCCTAAAGAGATTAAATTACTTGCCCATGATCTCAGTAGCAAAAGGTAGATAGATGTAAGATTTAACCAAGGCCAGAATCACCGCTCCTTTCTTCTAGCTTGCCTAGTTAAGAAATGTTCAGTAAGAGAGGGTTCAGTTTCCCATGCAGCTTGGATTATTCCCAGTGTTGGCCATAAACTCCTAAGCCTCCAGCTCCTTGTGTGGGACTGGGTCAGTGAGGCACCTCACAGGCTGCCTTTGGGAATACTGCAATTGGAAATAGGAGACGACCATGCCTCAGATCCTTGTGTGCTTCATGAGCAAGCCAGGAAGGTCTTTTGCTGAGTTTTGCATTTCATATTACCCGGCACAACTCTGACCCTAAAAATGCAGAAAAGGTTATCCTGAACTCAAGCCTAGGAACTCTACCTATAGAATGGATATGGCTCCCCACCTCATAGCTCTAGTGAGGATCATTGCTTTTTTACTTACATGTAGAATATGTGGAACAGATTGATAGAAAGAAAGCTCTCACAACAAAGGAAACACCAAAGAGACAGCCTACAGAATGGGAGAAAATGTTTGACTGCTATTCATGGGACCAGAGATTAATATTCAGAATATATAAAGAACTAAAAAAAAATTAAACACAAACAAATAAGTAATCCAATCAATAAATGAGTAAACAAAGTGGATAGACACAGATGATGAATTGCAGATAGTCAATATGTCCATGAAAAAAAAAAAAGAGTTCAATGTGCAATGTCTTCTTTAAAAGATTGTTTTTAATTTTGTTTTTAGAAAATTCCACCAGAGCACGTGTGCAGAGGTCAGAGGTCAGTTTTCGAGAATTGGTTCTTTCCTTCCACCATGTGGATCCTGGAGATCAAACTCGAGGCATCAAGCTTTGTGTCAGGCACTCCACCCACTGCGCCATCTTGCCAACCCAGTGTACAACGTGTTTAGCCATTAGGGAAATGCAACGCAAAACTTCACTGAGATTCCATCTCATTCCAGTCAGAGTGACTACCATCAAGAAAACAAACAAAGGATGTCATCGAGGATACAAGGCATAAAAGAACCCTTATGCACTGCTGTGAGAAGGTAAATTAGCGCAGCCACTATGGGAATCAGTACAGAATTTCTTCAGAAAGTGAAATACAACTGCTATATGATCCAGCTATATCACTCTTGGTATATATCTAAAGGAATTAAAGTCAGCATACAATACAGATATCCCCACACTCCTGACTGTGGCATTATTCACAATAGCTGAGTTATAGAATCAGTCAGTGTGCCCATCAACAGCTGAATAGCTGAAGAAAATGTGGCATACATTTTAAAAGGGTTATTATTTATCCATAAAGAAGAATGAAATTATTTGCTGTCTGTTGGGAAATGGACGGAAGTGAAGAACACCATCTTAGGTGAAAGGAGTCAGACTCAAAAAGACAAGAATCATATGTTTTCTCCTGTATGTGGAGTCTAGGAGAGGAAAAAACCCACAAAGAAGGTCACTATGAGGGAAAAGGAACGGGATTAAAGGGAAGTGAGAGGCGGGATAAGAGAGAAACAGGGAGTTGAAAACTAGAATATGCATTATGCATGTATGAAATAGTCCTAAAGAAGTCTATATTTGTATTTTTTGTTGTTGTGAAGGGATTTTTTTTCAGTGTTTTGTTTTGTTTTATTTTTCATACTGGGGGTTGAGCTTAGGGCCTTGTATATGCTAGGCAAGTACACTACCACTAAGCTGCCACTAAGTATTGTGTAGGTTTTTTTTTTAAGGTAGGGTCTCACGTAGCCCAAACTGGCCTCAAACTTACTGCATAGCCAAGAACGACCTTGAACTCCTGATCACCCTGCCTCTACCTGTTAAGTGCTGGGATTGCAGGTATTAGCCAGCACACCTGGCTATGCATATGCCTTTTAATTGTCATTGTTATTGTTAATTGATACCATTATGAGAACAAAATATTTCAACATAACTACTGCCAATTATGTTGCTTAGATGCTCCATAGTCACATTCTACTGACTGGCGATTCAGCCAGCTGAGAGAAAGAGACGGTGGCTTTGGCAGTGACTGTTGAAACACAGCCACATTTACACAGGTGCCTAGATGTTCTTCGAATTTTATACACACTTTTTAGCTTTTCTTAGCATTACCTCTACTTATTTCCTAGTAAAATATTTTATTACTTTATTTATTTAGTTCTTGTGCCCCAAATGTACTTTGAAGGCCTCTGATTTGCTTGCTATAGTTCTTAAATTTCTTTTTGAAGGTAACTTATTGATCACTAGTCTTGCACTACTTTTCAGATTTTTTCTTTTATTATTATTGTGTGTGTGCGTGATGTGTGAGTGTAGGCATGCACATGCTGTGGTGCCCACGTGGAGGTTCGAGGACATCTTTGTGGAGTGAGTTCCAGAGGGTAAAGTCAGGTCACCAGGCTTGTGCAGCCAGCACATTTACCCACTGAGCCATCTGGCCAGTCCCTTACTCTCCACATTCATAGTGTTCTTTTTCTCTTTCCTCCTAGTGTCTTGTATATATTTAGTTTTTAATTTTGCATTAACAATTTTTCCATATAGCATCTCTTCTTTTTCGCTTATTAGAACTTAAAAAAATCTTTTAAGAATGTGAACGCTCAAACTGCACATATTTATTTTATTATGAAAATATCTAAAAATATCTCATGCAAACATTTGTCCATACTTTATTAGCTTTAAAAATTGTAGTTATAGAAGCTATATGATTTATTTTTAACTGTATAATAAATTATGCTCAGAAATGCCTAACACTGTCATGAACTGTCATCTGATGTTGTCAACAGTTCATTAATTATCAGTCATGGTTTTATGGGGCCATTAGCTACTTTGTGTGTTCCCTGACTGTAGGACTACATGAAGAACACTTCTAGATGAGTCAGCGAGACATGGCTGTATCCTCTGTTATTACATTACACTGCTGCACATCCAGTGGCATGCCCTACCACTCTTGTACACACATGCGTGCACACACACCTCCATGTTTTTTGCACTTTCACCTTGAAGACCACACTTAATGCTCATCATGATCAGATTCTATCTCAATATTAAAAGGGAGAGATGTAAATATGTCATTAAAATATACACACCTCAACTCTCCACCTTATCAACAACCCTGTGCTTATGAATGTATATATGGGCTAGAGCCAGCTGGTGTAGAAAACACAGGGAATTTATTTTGAAGAGAAACAGTGTTTCTCTGGATGCTGGTGAGTGTCAGGGCCACTGTCATTCACGTTATTATCTTCCTCTGAGCAAAAACTGTCATGACAAATGACACTGTGACTGGGTACTTGAACTCATGCAAATATGTGAACTTTATTGAGAGGTCAAGGTCCTATTCAGAAAGACTTAATAGGATTTGCTAACAGGATCTTCTGGATCTACTGCTAGCTCATACAACCTAATTATATATGCTTGCCCAGATCCAGCTGCATGTGTGGAGGGCTCTGAGCACCCCACATTGAGTCAACAGTTGATTGTACTTCTCAGAGGCAGGTAAAACCCTGGATCTTCTAGCTACTTCCTGCTGCTGGGTAGCAGGAAGACCTCCAATGTTATGATCTTAGGTATCTCACTTGGAAAAATAAAAGGTATCAAGAAGTCAAATGCTTTCTATAAGTTACAGGGCCTACATGAACTGATGTTGAATTTATAAAGAATTTTGCTTTGGAGAATGAGGTGAAGAGAGATTTCTGAGGTTTAACTATGACTCAGCAAACCACCAGGGCACTAGATCAAAGACATGTGGCTTCACTCTGCATCAGAGAAGCAGGTGGAAACAGCTGCGCTGTGCCAATTATGCTGACTAACAACACCAGCAAAGTAAGCAGGTTTATGGCAGGACCTGGGCCAGGGCCAATGGTGGCTTTTCTAGGAAGCGGCTGCAGCGCCAGCAGCTTTTTAGCACCAGATATAGGAACAAGTTATAAAGTCAGATTCTATCTGGAATGTTGCTTTATTTTGTTTTTTAATCTATTAAGATTGCATATTTCCTTTCTTCCTTCCTCCCTCCCTTCCTTCCTTCTTCCTTCTTCCTTCCCCACTTCCACCAGCCACCCATTCCCCCTCCCCCTGTGTATCTGTCTGTCTCTGTCTTTATTAGCAATAATTCACCTCAAAGGAAGGGAGATTTCTAAAGGTTCTTTACAAGCAACTGCTAAAATTCCCCACTTTTGTGTCCATAAGACAGTTAGTTAGACAGTGTGCTATGTAGGGACTTTCAAGATCTTGATTCTTAAATTTCCACTTAACTATATTCCATGTATTGCTTAGACTGTTAACTAAGTAATTTATTGAAGTTTAAAAAATGTATGTGTATGAGTGTTTGCCTGCATGTATGCATATGTAACCATGTTGTACAATGTCCATGGAGGTCAGAAGAGGGTGTTGGACCCCCTAGAAGTGGAGTTTAGGATGGCTGTTAGCCACCATGTGGGTGTTGGGAGCTGAACCTGGCTTAGTCTTCTGCAAGAGCTGTCAGTGCTTTTAACCACTGAGCCATCTCTCCAGCGTCTCTTGAGCTGTTTTTAAAGTACCATTTCAAGTATACCTGTGTATAATTTTTTTCTCTATTTTCCTTCATCTCTTCAGTCTCATTGAATTAAATATCTGCCTTGGAAATTGAAAAATGGAAGAGAGAACTGTGATATTGATTCTTAGGCTTTAAAAAATGGACCAGTTTACTAGCACTTGTTCTTGTAGGATCAGTCTTGGCGCACTGCTCTCCCAGAAAGCTTTTGCTGCATAATAAACTGCCCCAGAGCTTGTGGTTTACAACAACAGCTATTTGTATAGCCAGCAACCTTGTGGATCAGCAGTTAGAACTGGCCCGGCTTGACTGTGAGTCTGCTGGGTGACTGGGAATTGTGGTGGTCTCGGCATGGTTGGACTGTTGCTGGTCTTCAGGGTCATTTCACTATCTAACAGATGGCTCAGACTTTTCCATATCCTGTCTGGGAAGAGACCCTGGAGAAAGAGACACTCCAAGGCCAACCTTGGAACTGGCATGGCATCAGTTCCACACATTCTTTTAGCTAGGACACAAATCTCATGGCCAGCCTACCTTCTGATGGGGAGAGTTACCAAGTCATATTGCTACATGGAGACAGCGAGTCAGCCATCTTTAAAATCTGTCATACCTCCAATGAAGAGCAGGTAGAGACAAATGACTATCACAGGAAAAATTGCCATGACGGAAAAAAAGGGCTAATAAACAAATTATAGATTTATACCTTATTTGAAATAGTCATTGTTTGTTAACATTGATGTCACAAAACAGCAGATACTGTAAAATTTCAGGTTAGACTGGCTTCCTAGTTTCTCTACACAATAAATGAAGACCCTCCCTCAAATACAATAGCATTCACGTTGCTGTCTTTGGTACAGATTCTTGTTGCAGGCTCAATTCTCTGGGCAGATTGAGGTAGAGTCTAGTGTAAAGGGTATTATTCAGTAGGGATCGCCCCTGAGATCAATGCCAATGGAAAACAGGGGGAGAGGAGGAGCTTAGTGATCTGCAGCTGCATGGTCTCAGTGGACCACAAGGGAGCTCTGGAGCATGAAAGGCCTGTCAGAGTTGTCCCAGGTTGGGCAGTGTGACTAGACCTTCACACCCAGCCCTTCCTTTATCGTGCACTCAATGTGGGCCTCCTCTGAGAAGAACATAACTTGGGCAAGGTGACTTTCTGCAGCTGAGTCACCTCCTGAAAGTGCTCACAGATGAAGACACAGATGTAGACAGCAATACCCAGGCACAGGTCCTTCCTTCTAGAACCAACAAATACGAACGGAATTATGCAGAACAAGATGCATGACACATAAAGTAATATGTATTGACCCTGTTGCTTTCCTCAGAGGATTTCAAATCGCTACATGAAGGGTCTGACTCATAGTCCTGCTGCCTTCATTCTGCTGCTGCAGCTGAGAAACAAGTAGCGTGCTCACAGAGGAAACATTTCGCTACCCCTGCAAGTCTGTTTTCACGCCACTTTCAGGTCCCTCTTCCTCTTCCCTTCCCTCAGGAACACTGGTTACAGCCATCCTGTCCTCTGAC